TATGCCAAGTTCATGTTGCTCAATCATCTATGATGGTCCGTATCAGTGCTTGATAGGCCTGTCTTTCCTAGCTGGTTAGATATGGCTGTGGTCGGTCAGGGATTTTTTTTTCATGCAGCATGTGTTTATCCGAATTGTGCACATGAAGTGACGAACATTGCATGGGACAAGGAATGGAGAAGCACATCATTCGGGAAGTGTGCCAACCCTTGTGGTTGTTAGATCCACTAGACTCGTTATCCATGTATGCTAGTTCAGTTTTTATCAATTCTAGTAGAGAAAAGTATACTTTTCGTCCCTCAACTCTTCGCAAAGTTTAGTTTTCGTCCTTCAACTCTAAAACCGGATAAAGTGCACCCCGAACTCTCAAAAACGGTCACTTTTCGTCCCTGCTGCTGAGTCAACCCAGTTTTGACCGCGCATAAACAGTACACCCGATGAACAGTAAATTCGAAAAAAATAGCAAAAAAATTCAAAAAAATCTGAAATTTTATGGCATCGAAAATACTCAGGTGCGCCACGTGCGTGCAAATTTTCATCATGTTTGGAAGTTCGAGAAGCACGCAGCAAAAAAACAAAAGTAAATGTACACTAAAGTGAACAGTAAAATAAAAAAAATAGCAAAAAAATTCTGAAATTTTTTGGCATCGACGACGCTCAGGTGGGCAAGGTGCATGCAAAATTTTGTGGTAAAATGACATCGGGGTGCACTCTGTCCGGTTTCGAGAGTTCGGGGTGCACTCTGTCCGGTTTTAGAGTTGAGGGACGAAAACTAAACTTTGCGAAGAGTTGAGGGACGAAAAGTATACTTTTCTCATTCTAGTATTACAAGTCTTTGGATGGGTCGTCTGTAAATTGTCAAATAGGCTTGTTCAATTCCGTGCTAATTCGAGTAGACCCCAATTGGTTTATAGTAGAACCCAGGGGAATCCGAACCGGTGTTTGGTTTACAAAACCCAGGTGTCTCCCTTGTATCTCGAGGTTGATTATTTCTTCAGTAGATAGAAAATAGAAAATGCCATGGGGTTGATTGGTGACTTTGAGATATGGTGCTAGAGAAACTATCTAGAGTTGGAACTGCTGCAGAATGATTCAAGAGTACTGTTCTCTGGTCCAGTGATTGGTGATTCTTCCTTGCTTTTCTCTCTGGACAGATTGTTTAGGGAAGTTCCTTGTTTATAACAGTTCTGTGTTTAACATTGCCAGACTCAGAGTTCAGAAATCCTTATAACAGTTCTGTGTTTTTACACTACTGTTTATCTATGTTCCTCTGCGATGCAACTCGAGTACAGCTTACCTTGTTAATACTTCTGGTCAGACCTTGCGATCTGCAAGCACTATGCTGTATTCAGATTTGTGGTGTTATGCTGCTGTTTCCAGAAGTATATAAGTTGATGCTGCTTCTTAGTACTCCACTATGTCGTCAGTTATCCACATGGACAATGTACACAAGAATTAACTCAATTTTCAATAATTAATGCCACAGCTGTTTCCTCAATTCTGTAGTTTTAACCGAGTTTAAAAAAGGGTTGGGTACATTAAATACTGCTGGTTAGACGTGGAATTCGTGTGTACTTCATATTGGTGTTACATTACTGTTTATCTAATCAGATCCCGAAGCACATAGTTGTTGTAGCTTAGTATTGTGTCATCAAATATGCATTTTCTTTACGTTTGTCTCTGAAGCATCAGTTCTTTAGGTCTGCAGTTGTCTTCTGCTGAGACATTTCTATGTGACATTGCAGCTCCTTTCCCAACATGTACCGGCTCCGAGCCAGGGACAAGATTAAGATGGCAATCAAGCGTGGGTTCAGCGATGAGGATGAGGAGGAAGTGACACAGATGTCAGGCCCAGTGGACTTAAAGGAGGCCACCCACGCAGACAAGATCACAAAGGAAGCTTGGGCTAAGGTTATTGTGCACAGGAAAGCGTCTGCCCTGACAGGTGCCCCGCGGATCGCGACAGGCCCCACCCCTGCCCTGGAGAACGCCACAGGCCCGACCCCTACCTCGGAGACTGCCCCGACCCTCGCCCTGGCCCGAGCCATCCACTAAATCTGGTATAAAAATAACTTCTGTTTCTTTCTAAATACATGTAGGTACATTCTAAATGATCTAACATGAATAAAGGATGGGGTTTCTCTCTCTTAACTATAATTTGTTTGTGTATGGTGGTTTGGATGTTATCTGGTTTCAAAACTTTCGATGTCTTTTTAGTATATCTAATTTTCATTTTAAAAGGTTTACATGATGTCTGATCTCTTTTGCATTCTCCGCAGGCGAAAGGACTGCTGTACAAATGGGCAATTGGCACAAGGCAAAGATTTCAGGAGAATGTTTGCATCAACAGGTTTTTTTTTTCAGTTCCTCTTGTTTTTAGTTCCCTTCCTAATGGTGATCAGTCACAAACCTTAAAATGTAGCTGAGTTTGTGCCTTGAAACTGGCTGAAGGGTACTGGTAAATGGTAAGGGGAGAAGCTTTCCCGTGGTATGCGAACCAAGTCTTGTGGTTACGATGGATGCTTTACCTTGTTCTGCAATGCGGAAGCATGTATGTGTTCACTCTGAGGTGTTTGTCTTTGTCGTGGTGGTGGCATATGATTTCGTGTTCATGTGAGATGATCGTATGTTCGTCTGGTGTCTATGAAAATCCTGCATGTTCGGTCGTTTGTCTGCCGCTCTTGTGATGTCATCACCTTATTCTTTTAACCTTTCGTCCGTGTTAACAAGCTTCGTTCATCTTAGAAATGTTCTTTTTCCGCGGAAACAGGTTGCAAGATGCATGATCATTGATCAGCCAGAACAAAAACAGCAGCCTCCTAATCTTTTAATCTCTTGAACGAACGCATGAACAGGCCGTTTGTGGATCATCAGAAAGGAAAACAGGCCGTTCGCCGCTAGATATATGATACGCAAGCGCAAGAGACCATAAACAACAGCTCCTAGTGCCACCATTCCCTATAGTAGTACTAAAACGCAAGCATGATTTCACAGTTCACATTAGTGTCTAGCAACGTCACCGCAGCAGCACAGCTACTGAATTTACTCCCTTTCAAGTTTCAATTCCTATATGGATTTCTTCCACCTCGCATAAATGAAGTTTCAGTCCCTGACCTGTTGACAGTGAGGCTAGATCATTCCTTGAAGAGAAGAAATCTTTACAAACTCAATTAAAAAATAACTTGGAACAAGCTCAAGCCAGAATGAAAAGGTATGCAGATAAACAGAGAGAACGGCTGACATGAACTATGAAGTGAGACATCTGGTTTACTTAAAAATTGCAACCATGGCAGCTTTTGGCATCCGTATAGGACTCAAACTGGCTACTAAATTCTATGGACCATTTCTAGTTCCGAAGAAAACTGGCGCAGGAGCATAGAAACTGCAGCTTCTGGGCATCGCACAAATACATGGCGTTTTTCACATCAGTCAATTCAAGAAGCACATGAGTCCATTAGTTGTTCCTGCTCCACATGGCAAAGCAAGGTCGCTCCTGTCCTGGTACTTGACACTCGAGCAGTACCTTGTCCTTCTAATTGGTAACGCAGTGGCTGGTGCAATGGTTAAAAAAAAAGCCGCCTCCTCCCTAACTTTTCCCATAAGCCGTCTCCCTCATTCATTGGGGCTTCTGAACTAGTTATGGGTCTAGAAGCCTCAACAAATTTTGGGAGCGGCTTATTTTTTAAGCTGGAGAGAGGCAGCTTATTTTTTAAGCCGCCTAAAAAAACTGGCCCAAACATGTCATGAAAACAAGCAATTGTGGTTCACATTTCCAGAATGCTTCAATCAGACAATCCAATCTTGGTTCCCTCAAAATGATCCTAGTGGGCAAGGGTCATCTTCAGGAACGGGCAATTGTCAGGACCTGAACTATCTGAACCTGAACATTTCCCAAGAACTCCATAGCGGCCGACACTGGCCAATCCCGAGATCCATTTTGTGAACCTGAACCTGAACATTTCTCAAGAATTGTCAGGATCACTGCTATACTTTGTAGTAGTATTAAACTATGAATCAGGGTGAGTGGGGAACGCCCGAGGTTTGTTGATCCATTTCGTGTGCTACCGATCATAGTCCTGCGAGCCGGCCTCGCGCCGGAGCTCCCTAGTGGCGTCGGCGGGGTCCTCGGTGCAGCGGAGGAACTTGATCGCCACGATCTGCCCGTGGCGCGGTGGCACACCTTGACGACGACGCCGGAGCCGCCCTGCTTGCCGGTGCCGCGCGTCTCCTCGTAGTCCTCGGTGCCGCTGATCCAACCGATGCGCCTCCTCTTGCGGCAGCCGGTCGTTTCTGGTCCTTGGCTGCTCGTAGCGTGGCCGGTGTCGTCGTGTCGAGGACGGCAGCAGGTCTCTTGCAGTTGCAGACGGCCATGGCGCTCGGCTCGATCGACGGCTTGGTTGGAGGCGGGAAGGGGCGAGCTTTCCGTGTGGATCGTCTCGTCAGCATATATTGAAACCGAATCGGAAACGAAGAACCTGAATTCGAGTCGGAAACAAACGAACCGTGAATCCGCCATCGGGCGGACAACGCAGGCAGCAAGGCGAACGAACTCGGACTGAAACTGAACTGAATTCCATGGCGACTCGGTGAGGCAACCTGTCGAAACAAATTGCCAACGCAGAGCATGGATCCATACGGAAGTTCCTCCCTCCCCCTTCTCCATCATCCATCTCGCCGCCCTCTCCAGCAACCAAGGAAGTTCGCCATGGCTGCCCGCAAGCGACCTGCTGCCGTCCTCGACGCCGGCCACGGCCACGCCACGGCTCAACATCAACAATCGCCGACGTGCTGCAAGAGGAGCCGCGCCTCCATCGGGAGCACCGACGACTACGAGAAGGTGGCCCGCCTAGGCAAAGGCGGCTTCGGCGTCGTCCACAGGATGCGCCACCGCGTCACCAAAAAGAACGTGGCCGTCAAGTTCCTCTCCTCCCCCGACGTCGAAGATCTTGAGCGGGAGGCGCGGTTCCTCGAGGCCTGCGACGGAAACCCTTACGTCGTCGGCTTCGAGGGCCTGCTGTGCGACCCGGCCACCGGCGACACCGCCGGCCTCGTCATGGAGTACGTCGAGGCGTCGAGCCTCCACTCTTTATTGTGGGACAGGCGCAGCGACCCGCCGCTCCCGGAATCCACGGTGCGCGACTTCATGTGGAAGCTCCTGACCGGTGCGGAAAAGATGCACGGGCACGACCGCCACATCGTCCACCGCGACATCAAGCCTGGCAACATCCTGGTCGGGAAAAACGGGGAGCTCGTCAAGATTTGCGACCTCGGGCTGGCCATGTCCATGTCCGACTGGCCGCCGTACAACCGGGCCGGCACGACGTCCTACATGGCGCCCGAGATGATCCTTGGCAAGAAGGACTACGACGCGCAAGTGGACACGTGGTCCATCGGCTGCGTCTTTGCCGAACTGCTCACCGGCAAGACGATGTTCAAGGGCTACCTCGAAGATGACGACGAAGACAAGACGAAGAATGACATAAGGCAGCTGTGGAGCATCTTCTGTGTGCTCGGGATGCCGGACGAGAGGACGTGGCCAGGGTTCACCTCGCTGCCGCTCACCGCCGAGGCGCTGAGACGGCTGCCGGCGGGGTGCAAGTACAGCCGGCTGCGGTATTCTTTCCCTGAAGACAAGCTATCCGAGGAAGGATTTCAGGTGTTGCAAGGGCTCCTCACATGCAACCCCGAGAAGCGGCTGACGGCAGCCGCCGCGCTGAAGCACCCATGGTTCGATGCTCCTCGTTCCGCCGCTGCCGCCGCCGCCGCTGCGAAGGTCGACGCTCTGTCGTTTCCGAAAAAGAAGACACCAAGGATCAAGTTCATCCCGCCGGCCATGCCCCAGAAGAATCTACTCAAAATCCCACTGGCCGTGTGGAACGCAGCGCAACGAGTGTAATAAAACTCTCTACTAGATGTGACTGTGCTTTGATAAGCCATCTATGTAAATGCTTGCATAAGCTTCAAAAAAAATGTAAATGCTTGCATAAACTCTCTTGATGTATTGTAACTGTGTGCTTGGATGAGCCATCTATGAGCCATCAAGTAGAACTTGATCGCCGGATCGGCCATTAGTGTTGGCCTGCTTTTCTGAATTTTATGTGTCATTGTGTACATGTTCAGAGAATCAGAGATGTGTAATTGCGAGGTTGTGTTCAGAGATCCATTTGAGTGCTGGCATGTTTGTTACAGATGCTCAGTTGTTATTGAGTTATACTGTACAATTTGTGCTGTTTTTCCAAAATCATGAACTGATGATAAATATGCAGTACAAATGTTCTAAGCAACAGAAATCTATAGAGTGATGGATGAGTTGGTACTAGTTAAACAAATTTTCCACCATCTTTTCCATATGCAGGTTTCTTACTGTGAAATACTCTCTCCATTCCATAATGTAGTGCTTCCTCTATCCACGTGATTCAACTTTGACCGTAAATTTAACTACCAAGACCGATTGCGGCGGAAGCAAAAATTATATCAGTGAATTCGTATTCGAAAGAAGTTTTTAATTATATAATTTTTTCTTCCGCCGTAGTTGGTCTCGTTGGTTAATTTATGGTCAAAGTTGGATCTCAGGAAGCGCGGGCGCACTATATTTTGGAATGGAGGGAGTAGATAGGAAAATCAAGTACCTGCTCTCTCCGTAAGAGCATCTCCAACAGGCGCCGGTTGTGCCGCGCGCAAAAAACAAATATGCCGCGCGCGCATCGCCTGGTTTGACGCGCCACGCAGCGCTGGCTCCAGCAACCGCGCTAAAATGCAGCGCGCGCGCGCCGCTCCAGCAGAGCGCAAAAATGCAACGCGCGCGACTCGCACAAACAACATATGCATTCGAAAATAGAAGCAAAAAGATCAAAACAAACAAAAATAAATAGTTTAATTTCGTTTATTACAACTCAAACAAACAGTTTACCGTTCAATACAACAAATAGTGCAATTAAACACAACAAATAGTTCAACAATACAATAACAAACGCACAAATCATGATGCTCTTTGTCGTCCATTTCATGCCCACCACTCCTCAATGAGATCCTTCTGAAGATCATTATGCGCTGCGGGACATCGAATGGCATGATAGGAGGCAACAAAATGGACCACCCTTTCAGCCCTCCGTCGCACTCGCACGGGATATCCCTATAACGTCCTCGATGCGGCTATATCTCACACGTGTCGAAGCACGACTTAGAGGCATAACCGCATTGAAAGCAATATCGCAAGTGAGGTAATCTCCACACAACCCATGTAATACATAAGGGAAAAAGATACATAGTTGGCTTACAATCGCCACTTCACACAATACATGAATAAATCATTACAACATCCAAATACAATCAAGGTCCGACTACGAAACCAAAATAAAAGAAGAACCCCCAAATGCGGCAAGGTTCCCGATCGACCCCAACTGGGCTCCACTACTGATCAACTAGAACGAAACAACACAAAGGGCAAGATCTTCATCGAGCTCCTCCTTGAGCTTGGTTGCGTCATCTGCATGGTTCAACGGCACCTGCAAGCTGGTTTTGGAAGTATCTGTGAGTCACGGGGACTCAGCAATCTCACACCCTCGCGATCAAGACTATTTAAGCTTATGGGTAAGGTAAAAGGTATGAGGTGGAGCTGCAGCAAGCGACTAGCATATATGGTGGCTAACATACGCAAATGAGAGCGAGAAGAGAAGGCAAAGCATGGTCGATAAAAGTATGATCAAGAACTGATCCTAGAACAACCTACGTCAAGCATAACTCCAATACCGTGTTCACTTCCCGGACTCCGCCGGAAAGAGACCATCACGGTTACACACGCGGTTGATGTATTTTAATTAAGATCAACTTCAGGTTTTCTACAACCGGACGTTAACAAATTCCCATCTGCCCATAACTGTGGGCACGGCTTTCGAAAGTTCAAATCCCTGCAGGGGTGTCCCAACTTAGCCCATCACAAGCTCTCACGGTCAACGAAGGATATTCCTTCTAGCGGGAAGACCCAATCAGGCTCGGAATCCCGGTTACAAGACATCCTCGACAATGGTAAAACAAGTCCAGCAAGACCGCCCGATGCGCCGACATCCTGATGGGAGCTGCACATATCTCGTTCTCAGGGCAACACCGGATGAACACTACGTACAGCTAAAACCAGCCCTCAAGTTTCCCCGAGGTGGCGCCGCAAGTGGCTCTAGTTTGGACCAACACTTAGACAAGCACTGGCCCGGGGGGGTTAAAATAAAAATGACCCTCGGGATGCGCGACTCTCAAGGGAAAAGGCTAGGTGGCGAATGGTAAAACCAAGGTTGGGCCTTGCTGGAGGAGTTTTATTCAAGGTGAACTGTCAAGGGGTTCCCATTATAACCCAACCGCGTAAGGAACGCAAAATCCGGAAACATAACACCGATATGACGGAAACTAGGGCGGCAAGAGTGGAACAAAACACCAGGCATAAGGCCGAGCCTTCCACCCTTTACCAAGTATATAGATGCATTAATTAAATAAGAGATATTGTGATATCCCAACAAAATATCCATGTTCCAACATGGAACAAGCTCCAATCTTCACCTGCAACTAACAATGCTATAAGAGGGGCTGAGCAAAGCGGTAACATAGCCAAACAACGGTTTGCTAGGACAAGGTGGGTTAGAGGCTTGGCTCAACAATATGGGAGGCATGATAAGCAAGTGGTAGGTATCGCAGCATAGGCATAGCAAAAGAGCGAGCAACTAGCAAGCAAAGATAGCAGTGATTTCGAGGGTATGGTCATCTTGCCTGAGATCCCGCAAGGAAGAAGAACGAGTCCATGAAGAAGACAAACGAACTCCGAATGCGATGAAATTTGACAGGCGGTCTATCTACACTATAATAAGTCCGCACGCCAACTCTCATCCCATTCCGAGAACATTATCCAACCACTTATAAAATAATATTTCGGACGTGCCGCGGGCGCTTGCGAGTGTGGTTGGACTCAGAATGGACAACGGAAAGAACGAGGAGGCCGGGGCGGATGCAAGTTTTAAAACATGATGATGCAATGCACATGATGACATGATAAGATGCAACACGCAAGCAAATGACATGGCAACAATAGCGAATAACAGGAAGACACCTGGCACAACGGTCTCGGGGTGTTACAACACTCCACCACTACGAGAGGATCTCGTCCCGAGATCTAGAATGGCACCGGAGGGACAAAACGGAAGAGGAAGATAAGCGGTAAAACTAAGTTGCTTCTTTGACAAACGAGTGAAACCAAAGAACCTTGAGAGGTTGAGCAAATTGAAAAGAAGAAAACAACGGAGATGAACCAAGTTGAAAACACTTCGGTTAAATGGACAATCATGTAAAGAACATGATCTTTGACAAACGAGGTGATGGGTTGAGAAGATCAATATCACAATGCCTCTGATACGAAAGAATAGAATATAGATAATTGAAATAGGAGAAATGAGGAGAAAATGCCAACTTCTGCCAAAAGAGCTTGAGAAGGCATCCTTAGGAGAAGGGTCAAACGGAATTGTTGGAACATCAACAACGGAAGGACAAGCTTGAAGTGGGCTTATAGAAGGCATATCAACATTATGAGGTGACAACTTGCCACTCACGGAAAAGATTGGATTTATATGAACAAGAAGACGAGAAACTTATTCACCGGAAGGATAAAAGAAGAACTTGGGTCATTTATGAGCACCATAAACAGCAACAATCCTTAGGGAAGGCTTTAGGTGAACTGTCACCCAAGATAACTCCAAAGAAGAGATTGATGGATTTAAAATACCTCATTCTTAACAACATCTGAATCATGAAACATGAACTCAAATTATCAAGAATGGCATAATACCACCTTCAATGATACAGAAGAAAGAATTGCACTCCGGATTGCAAGATGAAGAATGCTTGAACTTCTCTGAAAAGAATCTTGATGAACACTTTGAGAAGGAATTAAATTCTGGATGAACCATCATGTAGAACCTTGATGAAGAACTCCGGTAACAAAAGAATGATCAAACGAAAGGAAGGAGAAGTTGAAAACACAAGGTAAATCCTTGCAATGATTAGATGGATCCTCGCGATGGAATAATTAAGAGAACTTGGAACTCTGGGAAAAGAATTGTAAGGTCATATTTATCCCTAAGTGTTTTGGTGATTGATGACAATGCATTTGTGGACTAATCGTGTGCCATGAGCTTTCCAGACTCTTCCCTGCTAGGCACAAGATGATTGGGTGCCCCTCAAAGACTGACGAAGACGGCATCTTTTCTACGTTTCTTTTTGGTGTATTTGAGTCGTAGGAAAGCCGTACTATTAAGAGCGGGTCCGCGTTGGAAAGGTTTGGGTGGAATCATCACGTACACGTCTCCTTTTATCCCCTCCTTCTTCCTTGGAGCTTCCTCCGTTTTCCTGCCATAGTTGACTGACTGCTTGTGTGGTTGCGGTAGTACCGCTCCAGGATTAACGGTAGTACCGTGGGCATCCACGGTAGTACCGCGCAGTGGCACGGTAGTACCGCTGGTGCTCACGGTAGTACCGCTCCCCCGGAGCCTTACTACCGCTGCCCCACCCGGCTGAAGGAAATATGCCCTAGAGGCAATAATAAAGTTATTATTTATTTCCTTATATCATGATAAAAGTTTATTATTCATGCTAGAATTGTATTAACCGGAAACATAATACATGTGTGAATACATAGACAAACAGAGTGTCACTAGTATGCCTCTACTTGACTAGCTCGTTAATCAAAGATGGTTATGTTTCCTAACCATGGACAAAGAGTTGTTATTTGATTAACGGGATCACATCATTAGTTGAATGATCTGATTGACATGACCCATTCCATTAGCTTAGCACCCGATCGTTTAGTATGTTGCTATTGCTTTCTTCATGACTTATACATGTTCCTATGACTATTATGCA